ATCAACATCAGCAAAACAAAGGAGCTGGTCATTGACTTCAGGAAGCGGACAGGAGGGAATGCCCCTGTCTGCATCAATGGTGCTGAGGTGGAGATGGTCGAAAGCGCCAAGTTCCTGGGAGTGATGATCACCAACGACCTGTCATGATCCATCCACGACGATGCAATGGTCAGGAAAGCACAACATCTCTACGTCCTCAAGAAGCTAAGGAAATTTGGCGTGTCCACAAGGACTCTTATCAATTTTTATAGGTGCAAGACAGAAAGCATCCTATCTGGATGCATCACAGTGTGGTATGGCAACTGCTCTTCCCAAGACCCCAAGAAACTACAGAGAGTTATGAACATAGCCCAATCCATCACACAAACTAGCCTTCCATCCATTGAATCCATCTATAGTTCTTACTGCCTTTGGAAAGCAACCAAAATAATCAAAGTTCCCTCTCACCCCGTTATACTCTTCTCCACCCTCTTCCATCGGGTAGGAGATATAAAAGTTTGAATACATGTGCAAACAGATTCAAGAACAGCTTCTTCCCCGCTGTTCAGACTTTTGAACGGACCTCTCAAATGGTAATATTGATGTCTTTTGCTCTGCACCTTCTCTCTGGCTGTAACACTGCACTCTATTCTGCCTCCTGATACACTTTGTATGGTACAATCCGCCTGTATAGCGCACAAAACAACACTTTTCACTCAGTACACATGACAATAATAAATTGATCAAACATCTTTTCCATGGCCACTCTATCCAGGTCTTTCCAAATTCAGCAAGTTTCAACACGATCCCCCCTCAACCTTCTAAACTCAATAGAGTACAGACCAGAGTCCTCAACTGTTCTTGCTAAGTTTCATACAGTGCAGAAAGGGCCTTTCGGCCCATTGAGTCTGCACTGATGCAACTACTGCTAAAAGTGCACTAATCCTAATTTCCTGCACTTGTCCTTTATCCTGAGTTCCTACAGCAATTTTCTGTAACAGTTTCAATTGGCTCGGCAAGTGAATGCAATATTTCACACAGTATGAACATGAATTCAGTAAATAAAGTGCACAATACAGACAAAACCAATACAGCAGCTCTTCACTTATGAATCAAAGTTACAAAATGCAGAGAATAAAACATTATTAAGAAAAGGTCTATCCTTTCACAGACTGCCCTACAGGCTGATGGGTTCTCCATACATTGCATAGATCGCATGGCATCCTTGGGTAACGTGAAGGGCGGTGGGGTATACTTCCTGTGGAAGGGAAGAGAGGAGTCAGCGATAGACCTCTCTCTTCCAGAATTAGAAAAGTTCATCGATTTCACTTCCAATTTCCACACTGCCCCCACTTTCATCTGGTCTATCTCTGACTCCTCCCTTCCCTTCCTCGACATCTCTGTTTCCATTTTTGGGGATAGGCTGGCCACTAACATCCACCATAAATCTACTGACTCCCACAGCTACCTAGACTATATACCCTTGCACCCTGCTTCCTGTAAAGACTCCATCCCATTCTCTCAGCTCCTTAGTCTTCATCACATTTGTTCCAATGAGGCCGACTTCGACAAGGGAGCCTCCAACTGAGGATTCCCCAGCACTGTTGTCAACAGGGCCCTCAACTGAGTCCAACCCATCTCCCGCACTTCTATCCTCACCCCTTCTCTTCCCTCCCGCAATAGCGATAGCGTTCCTTCCCCTTATCTACCATCTCACCAGTATCCACGTCCAGAAGATCACCAGATGCCATTTCCACGACCTCCAGCGAGATGCCACCAGCAGACATATTCCCTTCCCTTGTCTGCCCTCTGCAGGGACCGTGACCTCCGGGACACCTTGGTCCGCTCTTCCTTCACTCCCAACACGCACCCCCACAGCCCCATTGCACCTCCCCCTGCAACTGGCGAAGGTGTAACACATGCCCATTTACATCCTACCTCCACAGCATCCAAGGGCTCAAACATACCTTCCAGGTGATGCAACACTTTACCTGCACTTCCCAGAATCTAGTCTACTGCATTCGCTGCTCAGAATGTGGTCTCCTCTACATTGGGGAAACAAAGCATAGAACAGGTGACTGCTTCGCAGAACATCTACGTTCTACTCGCAAAAAAAGGCCCTGAGCTTTTTGTTGCCTGCCACTTTAATACACCACCCTGTTCCCTGGCCAACATCTTTGTCTCAGGCTTGCTGCAGTGTTCCAGTGAAGCTCAACGCAAGCTGGAAGAAGAGCACTTCATTTTCCACTTGGGGGCCCTGCAGCCCTTCAGACTCAATATCAAGTTCAATAATTTTAGGGCCTGAACTCTCCCATGTCTTAGCCCACTAGCCCAGACACCAGGCCTTGTTATTGCATAGCCTGCCATTACACACTAGCTATTGTTAACCACAAACAGTCCCCATTAACAGCTGTTCACCATCCCAGCCAGATCATTATCAACTCCTTTGTCTATCCAACTGCTCTTCTTTCACTGTGGGCTCAACCCTTTATCCTATCGTTTACTCCTTACCCCACCCCCTTTCCTGTCTTCGCACATAAACCAACCTTTTCCCAGCTACCATCAGTTCTGAGAAAGGGTCACTGGACCTAAAATGTCAACCCAAAATATTAGCTCTGATTTTTTCCTTCACAGATGCTGCCAGACCTGCTGAGCTTTTCCAGCAACTTCTCTTTTTGTTCCTGATTTACAGCATCTGCAGTTCTTTCGGTTTTTATTAAGTCAATCTGGGAGTTCCCCAAATGGAAACCTTGGATGAACCAGGAAATCCACTCCCTGCTGAACACCAGACGTGCAGCATTCAAGTCAGATGACCCAGACCTATACAGGAGATCCAGAAACGACCTTCGCAAAGCCATCAGGGATCCCTCGAAGGGGAGGCGATGGCCTAGTGGTATTATTGCTGGACTGTTAATCCAGAGACCCAGATAATGTTCTGGGGACCTGGGTTCAAATCCCGCCATGGCAGATGGTGGAATTTGCATTCAATAAATATCTGGAATTAACAGTCTAATGATGATCGTGAATCCATTGTCGATTGTCAGAAAAACCCATCTGGTTCACTAATGTCCATTAGGGAAGGAAACTGCCATCCTTACCTGGTCTGGCCTACATGAGACTCCAGACCCACAGTAATGTGGTTGACTCTTAGCTGCCCCTTGGGCAATTAGGGATGGGCAATAAATGCTGCCTGGTCAGTGACGCCCTCATCCTGTGAATGCATAAAGGAAAAAAAAATGCCAAGAGGCAGTACCGGACCAAGTTACGGGCCCAAATCAACCAAACAGGCTCCCACTGCCTGTGGTGCGGCCTAAACAACATTACGGGATTTAAAATAAAGCAGAGCGAGATAGCGGACAAAGACACATCCCTCCCTGATGCGCTCAATGCTTTCTACGCTCGGTTTGAGCAGAATGCCAGCACCTGTGCCCACTGTTACCGCTGCAGACATCAGATTGGTCACCCTGGGTGTTAACCCAAGGAAAGCGAGGGGCCTGGATGAGCACTTAGATCCTGTGTGGACCAACTGGCAGAGGTATTCACCGACATCTTCAACCTCTCCCTCCTACAAACTGAAGTCCCCACTTGCTTCAAGACCACCATCACCCCAGTACTTAAGAAAGCACATGCAGTGTGCCTTAATGACTACTGCCCAGTAGCTGTGACCTCCATAATCATGAAGTGCTTCCAGAGGCTGGTCACGGCCCACATTGATTCCAGTCTCCCAACCTTCCTTGATCTCCTATAATGTGCCTACTGACATAACAGATCCACAGAGGATGCCATATCCCTAGCCCTGCACTCATCCCTGGAACATCTGGACAACAAGGACACCTACGTAAGACTCCTGCTCGTCGTCTACAACTTCTGCCTTCAACACCATTATCCCTTATAGGCTGATCTCAAAAGTTGGAGACCTTGATCTTGGCTCTGCCTCTGCACCTGGATCCTCAGCTTTCTGACCCACAGACCAAAATCAGTGAAGATATACAACTGCACCTCCTCCACGATAACACTCAACACTGAAGTTCCCCCAAAAATGTGCCCTCAGCCCCTTGCTGTACTCCCTGTACACCCACGATTGTGTTGCCAAATTCCGAATGAATGCCACCTACAAGTTTGCTGATGACTCCATCATGGTAGGATGGACATCTAACAACCATGGATCAGAATACAGAAAGGAGATAGAGAGTTTAGTGATTTGATACTGTGAGAACAACCTCTCTCTCAACGTCGGCAAACTAAACAGCCAATCACTGACTTCAGAAAGAAAGGAGAACACGCCCCCATCTATATCAACGGAGCTGAGGTTGACAGGGCGGACAGCATCAAGTTCCTAGGAGCGACAATAACCTACAACTTGTACCATACTTCCCACATAGATGCAATGGTCAAGAAGGCACAATAAACTGCTCCTTCCTCAGACAGCTCGGGAAATTTGGCATGCCCATAACAACCCTCACCAACTTTTACAGATGCACCATTGAAAGTATACCGTCCAGGTACATAATGGCCTGGTATGGCAACTGCTCTGCCCAGGACCATAAGAAACTACAGAAGATTGGGTGCATAGTCCAGACCATCACAGAAGTCAACCTTCCATCCACGGACTCCATTTACATGACTCGTTACCATGGAAAAGCCGCCAAGAAAAAGACCCACCGCACCCAGATAATGCTCTCCTCCAACCACTTCTGCTAGGCAGAAGATACAGAAGCTTGAACACATGCCCCAGCAGGTTCAGGAACAGCTTCTTCCCAGCTGTTGTTATTAGACTGATGAATGGACTCTCCAACTTCAAATAATGATCATCTTGCTAATGTTGATCCTGCCTAGCACACACCCTCTGCAACATAGCCTGTATGCCTCAGTTTTTCTTTCACCCTATGATCTGTATGTCCTTGTTTACTATAATCTGTCTGTACTGCTTGTAAACAAAGCCTTTCACTGTCATTAGGTATACCTGACACATGACAATAAATCAATCAAATCAAATTCACTTTACAAGACCATTTGCTTACCTTCCATTAGCTTGGTGAATGGTTCAGGACACGTGGATGGAATAGGAAGGGTTAATTTGTTAACAGCTACTCCATATGCTACTGCAAGACCATCAATCCCACGATAAGGTACTTCTCCAGTTAGTAACTCCCACAGCAAAACGCCATAGCTGAAAGCAGAGAGGTGACAACAAACTTCTTGAGCATCAACTGCAGGAAGAAAGGAATGGGAAGAGCCTATCCCTTGAGCCTTTCCTGGCATTCCATTAGGTTGTAACTTAGACCTCAACATTATTTACTGACATTTACTGCATACCTATTATCCAACAAGAATCTACAAGCTTCATTTTCACATGAAATACTTTGGGGGAAGAAAATTTGGGATTTTCAGCATGAGAAAGCTTTTCCTGAACTCATATAAAGGAAAGCTTTCTATATCCACTTCATTTTCCTTTCTAATATTTTATATTCCTTGATTATATCAGCCCTTAACCTTCTAAACCTCAGTTTCAGGCAGACAGTGCCACACGTGACGGTCTAGGAGAGGAAGAGCGGGTATACATGATGGATCAAGGAGTGGAGAGGGGGCGCAACAGGCAGGGAGAAAGACACACACAAAGAGACAGAGAGAGACGAAATGTGGAAAAGATTAATGGAATATATTTAGTTGCAATTAATTTTTCTTCTATGTTCATAAGAAATTTAACTTTATAACTACAGCACCTTCCAAGCCCACAACCTCTGCCACTTAGAAGGACAAGGGTAGCAAACACATTGGAAGACCACCACCTTCAAGTCATACAGCACCCTGACTTGTAGATATATTGCTGTCCCACCTTAACAGCTCTATGTACCTAGACCACATGCATTGCAGTGAGCAATTAGGGATGGGAAATAAAATGTTTACCCTTATAGTGCTGCTTATATCCCATGAATGATTAGAAGAAGCCAGAATTTCATGCTAGACGGCTGAAGGGTATACCTACCTCCAGACATCACTGCCTTTGGAAAACATGGATGATTTGATAACCTCAGGGGCCATCCAAGCATATGTTCCTGCCGCACTCATCTTGGTTGTTTTGTGCCACTCCCTGGCCAAGCCAAAGTCCGTGATCTTCAATGTCTTGTTGGCGATATCATCATTTTCAATCTTCTCAAGTAACAGAACTAAGGAAGTAAAAATATGAAGGGCAGCGTAAGCATCACTTTGTAAATATTTAACCTCGCTGTTTCCGGGCTCAAAGTGAATTTCTAAGCTCGCCTATTTAAGTTAACACACTGGTTTGTGCTATCTCAGAAAACACATATTCTGATCAATATTGCCATTAAAATGTAACAGTTTTTAAGTGCAAGAGTATCCCTACAAAGATTACAGCCCATACTCGTCCCCATCACATATTCTATTCTATTAGCAACTTTGTTATGTATGATTAACTCAATGGATTTTCAGGACAGTGACAAATCCTTTAACCATGGTCCGCAATTTCTTCCAGGAGGAACAGGAGAAAAACAGGGCACTGTCCTGTGGTTCAGTCAGGTACAACTTCTGGGTACGTCACCCAAGAGCTTATCTCAACAATGCACATCAACACTGTGATAACGGAGGACATCAAAGCCTGACAGGATTCATTGCTGTCCTCATCTGTTGGCCACACACCACCACCATCTAGTTGGTGTCACTGAAGACCACTCTGGTCCAGGATTCCCGTTTGATGTTTGACCTCTCTGACCTGGGTCATAGAGGTCAATTGCAGTGCTCCGAAAAGGAATTTCTGGTCCCCAGAGCTTCAGTGAATGCTGAGAGAATCAAAGAAAATAATTGCAATGTACGCAGATCTAAAAAGCCTATCCATTCCAAGGCAAAACTGCTCAAGTCTCATCAATTATAATCCACAATGTGTTTAGCTTCAAGATACTCATTTGAACACCACGTGACGTTTTAGTGAATTAGTAACAGTTGCAAGTCTGGTTTGTGCTGTAATGGATGATAATGCAGAAATGAAGTTCAACAGTAGGGACGAAGATACAGCAATGTGCATGAACCCTAATGACCCACAGCCTTCACTGCGGACACAACTATACCAAAGAAATTTATAAGCGTGGTACAAAATATACAAGTTTCACATAATAGAAAACACCACCACAAACTAATTTCTTTTCATCTCTTGGACTTGCTAAACACGAACTTGAAATAAAGTAGCAAGGTCCAAGTTATTTCTCATTGCAGAAGTACAACTGAAATAAAATTACGCATAATTTTACAGAAGGATTCATATTTTGTGCAGGAGGTGCCATGAGACACTCTCAGAATTGGCAGCATAAAAATATGCTCAAAAGGTTAAGTACACGATCTAGCATACCTGATAACAGTACAATCAGTCAATGTCAAAACTAAACAATTTAATCTCCCATTTTTAATCAATCTTCCCAGATCAACTCTGCTCTTAGTTCCCATTTATTGATGTTTAAACTACAAACAACGTCAGCATTGTAACACTTATCTTGGGAGTCAACACCATTAAGGCAAGTTTCAAATTCCATCCCAGCAGGTTGTTGAATCTCAAAAAAAGTTATCTTACAGTTAGAGACTAATGATAGCTTATGACAAGAGTTTCTGAAGAATGGAAATGATAGCTGACCACCAAATTTGGGGAAATATTCCAGAATGTCACCACATACCATTTTTCTTAGAGAACACTTTTTAATTTGCTCTGGTGTCGGGACAATAAAACTAATCAAGCATCTATGCTCTATCCTCTGCAAGGTTTTTAAGGCTGATCTGGAATGCAGGGAATCAAGTTTTCTGTGCACATACAGAAAATTACCCAGGTTTCCTTTTTTTGGCAAATCAGCATCTTCTATCCGCCTGTCAGGAATCAGAGATATTACATTAGGAGATAGGAATTGCTCAATTTTAGATGAATGCAATCCCCTTGTGAAAAAATACAACCTGACAGGACAAGAGACAAGTTGTTGGGTCAGACAACTGCACTACTGAGTTGCATTAACATACAAATTAATTTCCAAGTTAAAACATCAAGACTGAGGATTTAGGCAACATAACAGATGGGCTGCTGCTTTACTTCCTCTGGATTGCTTTCAAAGAGTAGATTCATTCTGGAATCACCAGAAGTAAACTCCCCAAAAGGGATGGCATGCAAGAATGAAATTGATTTCTTCCTGTAATAATCACCTCCTTCAACTAGTTTAGAAGGTTTACTGGGAAATCAATTCATTATTTACTCCCCTTGGCATTACCATCCTATAAAGCATTTTTTAGTTAATTTTAACCGCACAGCCAAGTGTAAGCTTCTGTTGCTTCCACTTTCAGCTGTAGCAAGGCAGAGTAAAGAAAAGCAAGTTGGCATCGAATGAATAGAGATGACTTTCCAAGTCAAAGTGGTTCAGGTGTCAGAATGCTGCGCTCACAAATTCAAGACAGGACAATACCTTTGTTAATACTTCAGCGCACCAAGCAAAGCTGCATTTTCACTGATCCCAATTTTCAGATGCAATATTAAACCAAAGACCTGTCTGCTTATTTAGTTGGATATTAAAGACCTGATTGGTAAAGAGGATTTACCGATGTATCAGCCACCTTGCACATTAGAAAAGAAGATCATCCAGTCATTTAACCAAATACCATTTAGGAGGATTGGATGCACACAAATTGGCTGCCATGTCTCCCTAAAAAAACAGATACATGCCAAAACAATTCAATGGAATTGAGGTGATTTCAAATGCCCTATGGCACAAAATGTGCTATAGATATGCAAGGTTCTCATTTTCTCTATTGCACTTGAGACATTTATTCAATATAACCAATATCAAACACATCAGTTAATCCTTCATTTCACTTTTGTCCACTGCACACAGCTATGTGCAAACTCTGTCATGTTTATTTATACAACACCAACTGCATTGCAGAAAGCAACTAATTCAGCAGAGATAACAAGATGATCATAGATCATAGAATCCCTACAGTGTTGGATCTTCGGTCCAACAAGTCCACACCAACCCTTAAAGCCAACCAGACCCATCCCACTTTAACCCAGCTAAGCTACACATCCCTGGACACTATTGGCCATGCCAAATTGCCCATCCACCTAGCCTGCACATCTTTGGACTGTGGGAGGAAACCGGAGCACCTGGAGGAAACCCATGCAGACATGGGGAGAACGTGCAAACTCCACACAGGCAGTCAGCAGAGGGTGGAATCGAACCCAGGCCCCTCGCGCTGTGAGGCAGCAGCGCTAACCACGGAGCCACCATGCTGCAGATGCTGGAGTCCGTGATAACGTAGTGTGGAACTGGAGGAACGCAGCAGGCCAGGTAGCATCAGAGGACCATGAAAGTTGACGTTTCAGGTCTGAAGAAGGGTCCAGACACGAAACTTTAACCTTCCTGCTCCTTTGATGCGGCCTGGCCTGCTGTGTTCCTCCAGCTCCACACTAATTCAGCATCAGGTTCTTTCACAAACGTGGTTAAACTCCACCCACCCGTCGACATCTTGATGACTCCATAATTTGAGTCAGTTTGTGTTTGTATGGAAGCTGAGCTTGGTACCTTACCCAGGAGGTAGTTGCACATCTGAAATGATGGAATCTTTATGCTTTATGTTGTTTCCCCCAGACCGAGACTTTAATTTCATAGTTATCAGTGAAAAACTGTGAAGTGTACAGACTACGGCAACCCTCTCTTCGGCTGAGAGGGGGCAGCAGAACCACACTTTTTGATTTCGGTTCAACTAAAAAAGATATCCACAATAGAATTGATCTGAATGACTCGGAACAAGGGGAAAGGAATTGGGAAGAACATTACTGCATTCAGAATTGAAAAGGAAACTGTTAGAAATAATCATTAGGAGCCAGCAGAACTTGGATTAATATTTCAGTGGAATTCTTGGTGAGCACAACATTATAGTTTGATGTATTTCCAGAATTCTGCATTAGGTTCTCAGCTTTACATGTCCCACCTCAAAGTCCTAGCAATCTGAACTCTGCTGGATTATTTGGTCCAACAGTGTAATTTGGCTCACATCTCTGCTACATACCCCTGGATTATGCATGACTATATTTGCAGTGAAACAATTTCTCATTATCCAAAACACCTAGATAATTAAATAGCTTGTCACTAATACTATGAAATTATAGTCTGCAACCAAGAAAAAAACAAGATAGCATAAAAATCGCACTCATTCCTGGTGTGCAAACTGCCTCACAGATCATGACACTAAGTACTTCATGCCATAAGGTGCTCAGCTTAGCTTCCATACAACACAAACTGGACTGCATTTAGATTAGAGACTCATCAAGACAAGGAAGGCTGGGTGGTCCAGTTTGTTTGCTGACCCTTCCACCCCATCAGTTTAAATTCTGTCCAGATTAGTGGAAAGAAAGTTCCGATTACACAGACTGCACATTGTAACCTATCCTGTGAGCAGTCAAAACCTCCACAGGAGTTTTATCTCTGGTAGAAATTTTGAGAAAGCCTTTTTCTAAACAAAAAGCAGTACATGTCGTAATATTTTGTTTCTTTCTGGCCACCAATCATTTTACTAAAAATCTCGTGAATTTTCATTTCTGTTTTATCTTTTTTTTCCCTATTAAATTGGAACAGTTTCTCAGGATCCTTTAAACCTCATAACACTTCAGACCAAACTTCAACTTTAGCAATTAAAGGTTACTAGCAGTTAGTATTGTATGTGACGTGTCTTTTGAAAATGGATGATTAGAATTTATCAGTTCCTTTACAACATTAGATATTTTTTTCACATCAAATCAATCCTTTGTGGGAGGGGAGCCAAATATTTAGCCAGCTGCACATTCCTAAAACCTTTATATCTCAAATGCTGAAACTTTTTTCTTCATACAGGATGAAGCCCAGCAAAAAAAACATTGAGTCAATGGGGAGGCAGAGGCATAGCTATAATGTAACTGTGCTAGTAAGCCAGAGTCCAAGACTAATGTTTGGGGACATGGGTCAGAACATAGAGGAACGGGCCCTTCGGCCCACAACTTTTGTGCTGAACATGACACCAAATTAAACTAATCCCCTTTGCCTGTCCTCGGTCCATAGGGTTCAATCACCCCTCCTCCCAAGGCAGAATTTAGTCCATATCTGCAAGAATTTGCTAAGTATCTGGAAACTTGTGAAATGACAACCAT